AAAAAAGAGAATAATGTATTTGGAACTAAAACTAATCATTCTGGTGGAATTCAAGTAAATAACTTTTTCATTATCATTCAAAAGATTATGATTAGAATAATTTGATGTTTGTTACCACCAGATTAAAAAATGTTAATGATAATAGGGAGGAATCACAAATGGTGAAAATATTTATTTTAGAGTTGCATTTAAACCACCAGCAACCATTTCTCAAGAACAAAAAACTGCTACATATGATGGTGTTGATGGAATTCTTGCTGCAAGAGGTCGTCATGATCCTTGCGTTGTACCACGTGCTGTCCCAATTGTTGAGGCAATGGCTGCTTTAGTTGTTATGGAGTAAGTTAATGAAAAAAATTTGAATTAATTTATATTTATATTTATATTTATATTTAATATAAATTATTTTCAAATATCTTCATTCAGTGCACTAATGATTCAACAATCACGTAAAACTGCTGCATCACTACTTCCACAAATACCTAATATACCTGTTACAATGTTAGGTGCTGTTCCAATAAAATCATCTAATGAAACAACAGAAGATAAAGACTTATAATTTAATTTTTTTAAAAAAATAAATTTTATAATACTATTATCAAGAACAACAAACAAATAAATGGATAACAAGTTTTTTAAGATACATATTTTAATAAATTGTTAATATTTATTTAAGAATTATTTGTTTGGTTTAGGCTGAAATTTTATAATGGTAGACAGAATTGATTGATCTTTTGGATATTTTAATTATTTGTAATAATATAAAGATGAGTTTTTTTTCAATATTTATCAAATAAATAGATGATTTATAAAGTTTTTTCAATTTATTGAATTCAAAGTTTTTATTGCAAATATTTATATAATCAATAATAAAATCAATGATGATAGTATAATAATATAATAAGAATCTAACGCAATATATTATACCATATATGTATATGTATATGTATATATATACTATATATGTAAAAAAAACACAGAGACCAATTTATGTTATACTAATCAATTTAGTGAAAAAAAATTTTTTTTTTAATCATCACAATCATTAGCCTCAGTACCAGCGTCTTCAATAGTATTGCTATCTTCATATTCATCTTCTTCATTATTGTTTTCAGATATCATAAGGTTTTGGTTAGAAGGTTTAATAAGAAATGGTACAACAACATAGTGTGTTGATACTTGTAACATCATCAATCAAGTCTATGAAATTTTCCAAATTGTTATTATTGTTTTGGAATTTGAAGGCTTATTAACATTAAACATTTTTTTTGTTTTTTTGCTCTTTCATTTGCTGAAGTTCCTCAAGAATACCAAGGTCAAGATTAGGCATTACATTCATTCTGTTTTGCAATTCATGCTCAGTATCATACACATATATTTGAGCAAACTGAGGGTGAACTTCATTATCAGGAAGTATTGTGTCTACGCTATAATACATTTCACCATGAACACGAAAGCTGTAAATGCCACTTGTTCCTGTTATACTATGATCAACCTTTGCACCCATAGACGTAAAAGTCAAAGCTGAATTATACAACCTAATATTTTTCCTAAATAAACGTGCACTTGGATCTGTTCTAGTAAGAAGAGTGTTGAGAGGATATGGTAATTCCTTAATAAGAAGGAGAGAAACCCTGCCTTTGACACAACATGTTGTGAAAACTGGTGATCGCATAGATGTGCCTGTTTTTCTTTCATCTATCCACAACAATTACATCTATGATTCATGCTTCCCAGAGAGTGACAGTCTAAACCTTGTGAAGACCATGGATAATACGTGTTTTTAATGTTTTTAGAGGAACAGTAGTCAGAGGAATAACTACTTCTTGCTCAGTGGGGGTAGTCACGTTATCTTCTGAGGTAATGCTAAAACTTGGATCTAAAAATTGGTCAAGTCCCGTAGAGCCTTCAGAATCCATATTTCTTTTGTTTTTACGATAACACTGTTGTTGTTCACAATTAAGTATTTGTTGACATTCTTCGGAAGTCTCATCTATAGTGTTACTAACTTCACTTTGCATATTCTCCTGATTGATCAAGATCCATAAAGCCTTCAGAATCCATATTTCTTTTGTTTTTATAATAACGCTGTTGTTGTTCACGATTAAGCCTTCGTCGACGTTCTTCGGAAGTCTCATCTATAGTGTTACTATATACAACCTTCTTTTCTCCTGGGTGGTCGAGTCCCGTAGAGCCTTCAAAATCCATATTTCTTTTGTTTTACGATAATGCTGTTGTCGTTCACGATTAAGTCTTTGTCGATGTTCTTCAGAAGTCTTGTTTATAGTGTTATTTCTATTAAGACTAGTGTCGTAATCCAAAAAAGGAAAAAGTATGGTTGCAAAAGTGGTCGCAAAGGTAATTGCAACCACTTTTATATGCCATAAATACAATTACTACCATCATCATAATTTACGGCACTAGTCTTTAATTTCTATCCATAGTATTATTTTATTTTCTTGCGTGTTATTTTTAAAATCTATCTATATTAGTATAGCTCAAGTCATCTAAAAACCGACCAATTTTATTCAGCATTTTTGAAGCCCATCACATGGACACACAGGGCACTTTTGGACTCAACCCCTTCATAGTTTTGTCTATGAAAAGTTTGATGTAAAATATTTATTACTTAAAAAGTTATGGTGGTTTGAATAGTAACTTTCTATATTTTAAATAATGTTTACCCTAAATTTGTCACCTCTTTCATGGATTGTTAACTATTAAGGGTGATCTTTTTCCAAAATTTTTTTCTTTAGGATCATCCCCTATTTCATATTTAAGAAATTTTATTTCCTAAAATTTGAAATTTTGCCAGTTTACTTATAATGGTCAGGTTTAGATGACTCGAGCTGTAAAGGTCATGAAAATAAATTGTCTAACTATCTATTAGTAATTGATAAAAGTCACGAAAAGTATGCAAACGTGTAATATTTGAAATTTTATTGTGGAAATTTTATTGTGATATACATTTGCACTATTACACAATTTAAAAATCATTTACATGTGGTAGTCTAAACGTTACATATTTATTTACGTGCGTGACAACATATTTATTTGCGTGCGTGTGGTAACCCAACGGATACAATAATAGATAGATTGTGACACACGTTTGCATTATTGCACAATTCAACAAGGTAAATAATCCCCACCTTGTATTGGAACATTATAAAAACATCACCAATTCACTTAATTTTCGGGTAAAAAAATTCAAATAATAAATAATTTTCTTTTGTCTTTTAATTCATTTGTCCGTAAAAAAATTTTTTAATTGCAAGTCATGTGCCCACTAATTTATCATTGGTCCAAATTATTTATTGTAACAATTACGATCTAAATCAATAAAAAAAAAAATTCTTTTTAAAAATTCATTTTTAAATTTTTTTAATTCTAAAAAAAAATGGCAACGATCGAAGAGATTAGGAAAGATAAAGGAGTGGCAGAAGAAGAGTACAAGAAGGCGGTGGAGAAGTTGGAGAAGTGGGAAGAGGGAGAAGATGATGGGAAGTGGTTGCAGAAGTTGAAGAGAAAGTTGGATGTCAAAGAATGGGGGAAGACAAAGAACAGAAAAAAAGGTGGGAAGAGTCGGTAAAAGAATTGAAAGAGGAGGAGGCGAGACTGGTGAAGGATAAAGATTATTGGAAGAACCAGGTGGAGAAGCTGCGGGATATGTTGTTTAAATATGGTAAAGAAAAAGGTAATGAACAAATTGCATAAAAAAATATACAAAAAATTATTTTTCGTTCATTCATTTATTTATTTTTTAATTCGTGATACGTGATAGAAGTAGATAAAATTCTGAAAATTAATTAACAAATTGTGGGGGGTCATTACTATAAAATGGTTACAATTGACCAACTTCCAAATTTTTTCTACCAGCACACATGATAAATATTACACAAAATATTAAATAATATGATGCAATAAATCTCAACCATTATTTTGACATATTTTTTATCATTGTTTACAAGTTTTTGACTTTGCTACTTAGCAACCCTGGATTTCAGAAAACATGGCGCAGTATGCACTAGTGATGTTAGCCGGCTAAGAAATTTTTAAACGGCTTAGCCGGCTTGAGCCAATCAAATTCCATTCTCAAAAATAATAAAAAATATTCATTCATTCGTAATGCCGCCAAAAAAGGAAAAGAAAACTAATGCACAAAATAAGCAATTAATTAGTTCCAACACTCGTAGCAAAGCAAATTCTTGGTCTGGTGGGTCATTGCATAACAATATTAACAATGGGTTAAATAGCAGTAGTAATATTA